TTTTTTTTTTTTTTTATGAAAATAATTTTTTGTTTGATATTAACTGATGCATATTAAAGTAATTATTTCGATAGTGTTAAGATGTAGATTAAAATTACACGAGTCAATTGAAAATCAGGATAATGTTTTTGTTGAAGATATGTTCTGAAAGATTGTGCTGATTTCATGACATTTCATGACATTTTATTCATCTAAAATTTTTACTGTCAGCATAGAGTTTTTCATACTAAAGTTGAATAATATTACAGAGTAGGTAAAATAGAACAGAGCCAAAGACATCATTTGCGAATTTAAGAAAACACTAATGTTAAAACTTTGTGTTAACTTTGGATTAAAAAATAAAATCTACATATAAATAAAAATAACTTGAATTTATCATTTTCAGGTTAAGAAGAAAAAGAAGACGCGGTGTAGGCTGCTTTAAAGGATGATGTAAAATGGGCCCAATGCTGAACGGGTAAAATAAGGAATTACGGGGCTAGCTGTACCAAAAAGTTAGTCGTCATGTCAGGAGGCCCTAGCATAAACTATAAAATATCTTATCTTTATTTTTAATAGTACGAAAGCAAAAAATAAAGCAGATACGAAATGAACAACAAATAATAAAATGAATAAGGGAAATCTGGATGCCCTCAGGATAGAATAAACTAAAAAATTTCAAGAGTGTGCGTATATATATATATACACGCATAAAAGAGTATGTACAGTCAGTACAATTTGTGGAATTGAACTGCTGACCCTACAATGGCTATATTTACCGTTTTTTAATTAACTCTATATCATGCATATATTTAGGTTTTAAGGACCGTAACGTTTTACAATAATTTTAAAAACAATAGGATAAGATAATAAGATTCAAGGGAGAAAATAAGAACAAAAAGTTTTAAATGATCGCCTTGAGCAGCACAGTTTTCTATGCGATTTAGTCTATGTCATATTTTTCTTTAATAATTAAGAAGTATACTATTGTCATTGTCCTACGTAATGTAAACATTTTTTTTTATTAAATGAAAAAATTCAGTGATTTTTGATAAACAAATCTCATTTATCTCTCTTTAAGTTTTAGTTTCATTTCTTTGAATGAAAAATCATTAACAAAAGTTTTTCTTTTCTAATTTAATGTGCACTAAATTTTTGAACTATACTTTCAGCTAATTGTGTTGTCTCACTCAAAATAATGTCACATTACAATAATTATAATAATTTTTATCAGAGTATAATGTCAAAAATCGTAGCAGATATGCAAAGTACATGTTTATTTAAGTTGTCAAGTAATTCAAATCTGTTAAATAATCTGTTTTGATATTAAAAAAGAATGCTTCATTGCTAATCCAGTTAAGGAAGTTTATTAAATTATTTGTAACAACGATATACTTTTTCAGTGTTTCAGTGGTGAAAATCGTTTCATACATATGACTTAAATAACCAAAGTTTAAAGAGAGAATCCTCGGCTACTGACTCACTAAAACTATTCAAATGTCTATGATAGTTAAAACGTTACATGATAAACTATTCAGTTGATGATAAAATGAGTATTGATTTCGGTTATTATAACTAAATAAAATGTCAAAGACTGAATAATTTGAGAACTTTTAATTTTTTCTTGCAAAGATTCTCCAGATGTCTGCTTTTCTGTCATGCTCTTTATGTCCTCCACGTTATGCCTTTGAATAGCGTACCGTCGTAAAAAAGCCTCATCACTTTCATCTTGAGGGGTTTGTTATAGGTATATCTTAAAAAAGTTTAAAGGATGTATAATACCTCTGTTATGATATTGTATTAGTATTTCAAATGCAAGCCAACCTTGAAGTATTTATACACAAATATGTATTTTAAAAATTCAGTGCTTTATACATAACATAACTTTATTTAACTTAATGATGTAACTTCACAATGATATTCCAATTTTTGTGGTAAAATAACTTTTTAATATCAAGCACGTATACCATTTAATCAATTTTAATTTATTTGACTTGCATATTTGATCAACTTGTTGCTTTACAATCAATTTGGAATAGTTAATAACTTTGCAAATGTTTTGGTTAACCGCACCTTTTATAAATTATATTTACTTGAATTGGTAGTAAGAATACCAACGTCAACAGGACTAATTAAATACTTAAAGGACATCTATTTAAGGTAGCTCCGTTGCGAAAACCTACGGAATGAAATATGTTTCATTCAATAGATTTTGATCTACTGAATCCAACAGTGTCCTTGTTTATACCCCAAGTGAAGCAAAATCTCGAGATATTTCAGCTCAAAGTTGATTTGTTTAACACGAGCTCAAATGGCTGAGCATCTAAATATCAGCTTTACAGGCATTTCCCAACTCACAAAAAAAACTTGAGCAGACAAATTATGATGTACATACCATGATGTAAGTAGATAAGGTGTGTCATCGTGTCATGGCCCAACTTTCCGATGAGTCCGAGTTTCTCCAATTGTGTGCCTCATCCGAACATCGTCCGTATTGGGATTTGAGCCAATCCGAATGTAGCGGTATTTCAAAAATATGTGATTGTCAATGGTTTCAAAAAGGTTTTAGCTTATATTACAATGTTAAAAGTGATACTTGAAAATTGTTGCTGAATACGAGAAAACATCATTTAACAGTTATTTCGAATAGTGATGAGACAATAAAAATAAGTTATTGCCGGATTTAAGACAAATTATTTCAAGTAAGTCATGTACATACGTATTTATGGTAAAAAAATCATCAATAAGTATATCATAATTTTTTTTTAATTAATGAACGAATTTTGGTTGATTGTGATTGTTCTCATCCGGTTATAAAAATATAAACAGCCCGCAATGCAATAACAAAAATAAACAAAAATTCAAAAATTGATAACAAATTAGCTCTACTATTAGATAATATTTTAAAGGGATCATTACTTATGTACAACAAAAGTTAAAAAATCACAGAGTTTTCAATGTTTTAAAGTCTGCTGTATTCAGTGAGGCTTCAAGCTGTACTTTTCTTTTAGTTGCACATCTGAGATTACTGCATGAGTTTAAATTATTTCCAAATTGAAATGTACAGAGCATACCCTACTTACGATAGAAAAATGTTTGACTGTTCATTCATTCGTGTAAAAATATTTATATATAAGCGAACACGATGGCATATTGTAAATATTAATTTATTACACCACTCAAGTTCTCAAGTAAGTGTCATGAGTGCATGTATATCTTAAGGTAGTAGTCGATCAAAAACACTTTTCTTACGATTTTTCTAAAATTTTGTGTGTGCCTTAAGATTGCTATTATTTATCATGAGCCAAAATTTGAAGAGGCTTGGCGGTATAGTTTTGGAGATATTAAAGTTTTAATGTTGAACTTTTAACACAGGAGGTATAGGAAAGTGCCGGATTGGGGGTCGATTTGTGAACGAAATTGCTTATATCTCTAAAACGCTTCTTACAATGTTTCGTAAAAAATAGTATGATATAATTTATATTATAAAGCAACTGTGGTTCCAATTTAAAAGGGCTCAGCGGTATAGTTTTGTTGTTCGAGCTTTGCAAAGTTGAAAAATTCAGTGAAATTCGCTCCTACAACGTTGTCATTTTTCGAGATAGTTGTCGAAGCGATATATATAGTATACGCATACGCTACAGCGCATTATGGCACGCACTGCAGAGTGCTCGACTACTACCTTAAAGTAAACAAAGCAGACTACATAATTCAACATGGTGGAATTACGGTGTGCGCAGGAACAGTCTCAATTTAAATCAGTTGGGTCACACACCTTATTTACTTACATCATGTGATGTACTTGTAGAAAAATAAATGATTAAACGAACTTCTGGTGAAGTTCAATCATTATTATACTAACAACTTTTTCGAGGGTATTTTACATTGTAGTACCCCGATTTTTCGCCAGATGACGCCACAGTTCAGAAATTTTTGCACAAAAAGTGCGAAAATCGAATTGGAGCTCTACCGCTCACTCGACTTTCTCTGCTTCCTTCTTCATTTAGTTTATAGCCTAACTTAGTAAAAGGGTGGGTGTTTTTACAAAAGGAAAAAGAAAAAAAAAAACAAATAGAGGGGAGGGAACTACATACCCTCGAACAAGTTGTTAGTATAATAATGATTGAACTTCACCAGAAGTTCGTTTAATCATTTATTATACAGCACTGCCTTGTTCGAGGGTATTTTACATTGTAGCTGTTTAGAGCTGCATATATATAAACAAAACAGCGTGTATTACAATTTAAAGCAATAATTTTTATTCAATGGGTTGATCAGGTACATAAAGTACAATCTGGTCGACAGTTTTCAAAGGCTGGCGGCAATCGTCACAACATGCTTTTGCAGCAAACTATAAAACTAAGAAAATCTCGTACAATCTAGAGAGCTACCGCTCCCATTATCCATCACTGCCAATGCAAAGTTGCCATCAGGCTGTTTAATCTGTCTGTTGTAAAACTTATTAAAAATAACCGATTTCTCCGACCATCCCGCCGCGCTTTTAATCGCGTTCACACTGACACCTCGTCGCAGAGCTGCGGATGTCGAAGCATGCCTAGTGGAGTGAGCGGTATATTGCTCCTCCACCCCTGCTTCCTTCATGACCAGTCTGAGCCAGCGGCTCACTGTGTTTGGTGTTACTGCTCCGTGCGGCGGCTGAAAGGAAATTTGAAGCTGCGAACACTTTCCTCTGACATTAGCTGTCTTATCAATATAGCGTCGCAAAGCAGTGGCTATACATAGTTGTTTGTTCTGAAACTCAGGGAATCTCGCGTAAGGTTGATGCGCTCCAGGCCTTGATGTCTTGGTGAAATCAGGAATGGTCACCTCTACAGCAGATTCTTTAAACTTAATATTCTCTAACTTGAGAAAGACTAAGGACTGTACCCTAAAGGCCGAACCGAGTGCTAAGAGCATTGTTAGCTTAAGTGTAAGCTTCCGTAGATCTAGAGACTCACAAGCGCCCCATGACTCGAGCAGCTTCAAAACTGAAGCAACATCCCAGGTAGCTGCATATTTTGGAGCCGTGGGTCTCGATCTAAAAACACCTTTAAAAAATCTATTCAGTGCCACCGAATTCGCCCAATCATGAGAGCTAATTAAAGAAACCGCAGCACGAAACGATGTCAATGTGCCGTAAGCTGCTCCCTTTAAAAATTTTTTGGTTAGGCAGTCTAACAAGGAGTGTTCCTCTGCTAAATATGGGTCCAATCTTGACTTGACACAATACTCCCACCAATACTTGAGTGCAGTGCTATATTGCTTGATCGTGCTGTCAGCCACCGACGTCATCATAATGCTCACCGTTTCTGCTCCCAGGCCCAGTCGTTCAAAGGCCTGCCTGATACAAGACCTGCCACCAGGGTAAGGTCCGAAGCTAGAGAATGCGTTCTCGTTCTGCAAAGAGACAGAAGCAGATGCTTAGAGGGCTTCCATACAATAGGGTCAGCCACAAGGAGTTGGCAAAACCCAGGATACCACGGTTGCGACGGCCATAAAGGAATCACAATCACTCCACATGAGCCTTCCTCTCTGATTTTTCTCAACACTTTTGCTATTAAAGAGAAGGGGGGAAACGCGTACCAGAACTCTTCCTTCCAGGAAATAGAAAGTGCGTTAATGACCCACGCCCCTGGGTCTCTCTCCCATGAGCAATACTTGCGACATTTACGATTGACTCTGGTTGCGAACAGATCCACGGTAGGATACCTAAAGGTAGTGCATATTTCCTGAAAGGCTTCCTCCGTCAATTCCCATTCAGTATCTAAATTAGTAATTCTGGACCCTTCGTCGGCTGGATTTTCTGCCGACGCGACGTATTCTGCAAAAACCCATATTTTGCGCCGCATACACCACAGCCAGAGCTCCCTCGCTAAATCATTGAGCTCCTGGTGCTTAATGCCCCCCATTTTGTTGATGTACGCTAAAGCTGAGATGTTATCAATGCGTAACAAAATGTGGTTGTCTGTCCAAGAATTAGCAAAAGATTTTAAAGCTAAAAAGGCAGCCTTGATCTCTAGGAAATTAATGTGATTCTCTTTTTCTGACGCTGACCAGAAACCGTGGGCTGAGTTTCTACCTCAGGTGGCCCCCCAGCCAGTTGTGGAAGCATCCGAAAAAAGGACTTTATCGAAAGCTAAGCTCCTAATTTTGTTTTCTGCCTTCATAATGTTATCTTCCCACCAGGCCAGATCATCCATGGCCCTCAATGACAATTTAATTACCATTTTCTTAGCGAACCCCTGTCTAGCCACAGCGACCTGCTTTAACCTTTCAAGTTTTTTATAGAATAACCAGCCATATGCAATTGCAGGACAGATTGATACCAATATACCAACTAATCTAGCTAAATCTTCTAATGCCACTTTAGAAGTCTCTCTTAGTCTTCTTGCATATGCTTTTATATTTAACCTTCTCTCCTGGGACAAAAGAAGCCGCATTTCAACAGAGTCGATTATTAAACCTAAGAAAGTAATTTGTCTACACGGAACCAAAATGCTTTTACCGACATTTACGACAAAACCTAATGATGACAAAAGACTGCGTAATATGTCACAATTTCTTTTGCATATTTCAAACGATTCTCCAAATACTATAAAATCGTCTAAATATGCTACCACGCGAATGCCTTGCTTTCGTAGATGCGCAAGTATCGGTTTAATTAATTTTGTGAAGACCCATGAGGCTGATGCTAAACCAAAGGGTAACACTTTAAATTCAAAGATCTCCCCTTTAAAACGAAATCTCAGAAACCTTCTATGCTCGACATGTATTGGCACCGCGTGATACGCGTCTTTCAAGTCCACCTTTGCCATCCAATCCCCCGGAATCAAAACATTTAATGCCGTGCGTATATCCTCCATCTTAAAGTGCAAAACGTTAATAAATTTATTAAGCTTCTTCAATTTCAAAACAAACCGTGATGCGCCGTCTTTCTTTGGCACCAAAAAGAACGGAGAAAGAAACTGACCGTTAACTTCATTGCACCTTCCCACTGCTTCCGACCTTAACATTTTATCTAGTGTTAACTCGACTTCAGTGAGAGCTTCCGCGCCTACCACGAAAGGGGATGGCTCTGCTTCTTGATTGGGCTCATGCATGAGGTCTAATTTATATCCATTTATGGCCGCCAACACCCAATTGTCAGGCGTTATTTTCGACCAAATAGTTGCGAAAAATTTTAAACGTCCCGCAGTATTTACCTGATTTAACGTCTCGACCTCTGAGGTTGAGTTTGTGTGTACCTCCCTTTCGCTGGCCGGGACCTGGGGCTGCTCGGACGGTATGGATGGCGAGAGGTAGATGAAGCTTGGTGGCGATAAGGTTGGAAGCCCCTCCGTCCCTCTCGTCCGACGTAGGAGCTTTTCCCGTTTAAACGGTTCTGGTTGTTCTGGGACAGCGGCGTCCTCGGCTTCGGATTAAGGTCCTTTGCCACCTTGTCCACTGTTTTAGCCCCTTTGATGAGGCCCTTTACATCATCTCCGAATAATCAGTTTGTCGACTTAACCTCTTTGAGAACCTTTTGCATCCTCTTGTCCAGAGGGCCGACTATATAGACCTTTCTTGAAAGGTTAAGGTTGTAAAAGAGATCAGCGGAGATTTTCATTGACTGCGCAAGACTTGTCAGGAGTGATGTTTTCTCTGGGGACGTATCAAATCTTGAGCTGATTAGAGAAAACGCTGAAGTTGCAACTGAGAGCGACGCTGCGACTGATCTTTGGTGCTCGCGGAAATGGTTATCCTTAGCTACTGCGCTGGCTGACATGCTAGCGGCCAACTCAGGGTTGAGTTGAGGAGGTTCAAGAGCTAAACTGCCTTTAAGAGGTATACCCGCCAGGAGACTCTCCTTCTCCTCCTTGGGCAAGCCTGTGATTAACCACTGACTTACTCGCGTAGCTATGGCTTCGTCCCATTTTTCCGACTTATCCGCAGCCTTCGATGGGTCTTTGCCTAGAAACAGTTCCGTTTCATCTACCTGGTCCTTCTCTTCTCCTTCATTGCCTTGAGCCTGCTCATTGGCTGCATCGCCATCCGCGCCGCCACCCCCCAGGGCCTTCAGCACATCTGCAATTGACCGATGACAGTCGTATTAGAAAAAACCATACCGTCTCGATTAACCACCGTAGCTCGGTAGGCTGATTGACCATGTCTCCGAATAACTACCGATCGTCCACCTTTATGATTAGAAGTTAACTTCTTTCATATTGGTTTCTGTCCTCGGTTAGCCTTGGAAATCGATCCCATTAATAACTATATATATAAAGAAACCCGTCCAGCCTAAGGACCAAGATGGCTTCCACCGCGTGGCTGGAACATAAGGACAAAAAACGAAAGGAAACGAGCAAAAGAACCTACCCTCATATTGAAGGTCTTCCTCTTCCTCGTCCCCGTTCTGGAAGGTGTCGAGTCTGCTATCAACCTCCCCGAGCTCCTGCAGGAGTTGCGCTCGTTTTCTTTTAAGTGAACTTGGAGAACTCATACTGTGTAACGTCACCAGGCGCCGAAAAGGGAATGAAGAAGTAAGCAGAGAAAGTCGAGTGAGCGGTAGCGCTCCATTTCGATTTTCGCACTTTTTGTGCAAAAATTTCTGAACTGTGGCGTCATCTGGCGAAGAATCGGGGTACTACAATGTAAAATACCCTCAAACAAGGCAGTGCTGTATAATGTTATTCTTGTGCACTGTACCTGTGCATAAGCTTGTAATTTTCACTGTGTAAGTAGGCCTTATCATAATTAAAAAACCTGAAGATTCAGAGAAAAAAAAAAAATTTTTTGCGAAACGCAGTGTCTATTTTCCATAGACATAAAAGAAATATATACTGCTTGTTCTTAAGCAAGGCGTAACAACACAAGTGGATGACATCCACGAACAAGCTACAACACAACCACGTTCAATGCTGTGTCTCCTTCTACTTGTGCTTAGACACCGTATACAAGAACGAGCAGTCTGTAGGCTCCGTGCACAAAGCCACCAGCGACAGCTTCGGAATATCGGGACATCACTGACTCAGTCCGCGTCATTACGAGAATACACGGAGAAGCATGGTTGCCTAAAGTCAACAATTTTTTATCATTTATATCAAGATCCTTTCTAGTAGCCCGATCATCTCAATTAGAATCCCTAACTCCTTAACTTTACGATGATATTTTTTTTCAGCATCAGGTTTTGCTTTAATAAATAGTAAAAAAGATGTATAACTTTTTGTCGCTTATACGTGTAAGCTATGTTACATGTGTCAGTGAAGTGTGTTAGACATAAAAATATAAAAAATATGTTATATGTACGGCGCTGAAGCCATAGAGATATTATAGATAGAGGAGGCAAGTCAGCCCCAATAGCGTCCACTTGGCAGAAAGAGAAAGGAAACCGGACAGGTCTTTCACATCTCTCGTACCTCCCTTTTGATTGGCTCTTATGCACAGTCCACACTTACACTGTTATGTATATAGAGTAAGAGTGTTGACTGTTACGACCTGGTCCTTGGCGTAGAGCATGAATTATTGGTGGAGTTGTTCGTCCAGCAGATGGCGTTGTTAGGGTTGGTTTGTTACCCAGTGAGGCACGAAAGTGCCAGGCCATGGTTAGGAAAATCTCTGCCGCTCTGGAAGTTGGTCTCTAGGTGCTTGTAAGCTCCTGGTGCTTGTACAGTCGTTAGGTCCCATGATGGAAAGCTCTTCTCCAAGAGATCGTGAATATGATGTCTAGGTTATCAACCTGGGCGTAGGAAATCGTTTTTGACTTTCGGACTACCCTGGCTATTCGTAGAAGGTATACAGAGGCGTGCGTGCCTTTTGGTTTGTAGAGGAGCGCCAATCTAAGCGTCGTAAGATCTACAGCAGTCTGGCCTCAATGGAACTCAAAGTTCAACTCTCTCTGCCTGCCTCCTGGTGTCCGTCCTTTTTATACGCTTCTCTGGGTTCGGTGACGTGGGTCTCGCGTGTTGGCTCTGCAGATCGTATGGGGATCCTGGGATGTATGCGTCAACTTGCAAGCTTGCGTGATTGCTGTAGGGTTCGGGCCGCACCTCGTTGACCTGGATAGGCCGGGTCTGAAGCTGAGTCAACGTGCGTGCATGTCCTAGGGATGCGGGTATAGCGAGGGGAATGCCAATGAGTCAGAGTTTGTGCGAGGGCTTTCGGCTTCGTAGAAGGAACGTGCAGGAATGCGACTGAGTCAAAGCTTGCATGAGGGCGTCTAGGAAATTATTCGTATAGGTCTAGGAAAGAAATACGAATGAGTCAGAGCTCTCTTGACGGCTTATGATTTTTCCTGAAACAAATAAATTATCGTCTCCCAAAAATTCCAAATATTTGTTAAAATAAAGGAGCTTTCGTATAGTCTATTAATTGATATGTTCTAGAGTCGTCTATTATGGTATGGCTTTTATTTTGCTGATGTCATCATTATCATTATCGTTATTGCTATTGTCCCTTAACTATTTGACCTATGATAAAACGGCATTTTAATTTTTGTTCATATCGTTCGATTCCTCAGGTCGGTACGATCAGTAGCGCTATTATCGTGAGGAGCCCATATATCTATATATGTCGGAACAGTACACCTTTAGATCGATAATACACGGAGCTATAATGGAGCTAGCTCCTTACAAGAGTATATATATAGACAGCTAGCAGAAGAGCAGGCAGTCAGGTATGATGTAAGTAGATAAGGTTTGTAATGGCGCCAATTTCCGATGAGTCCGAGTCTCTCCAATAGCGTGCCTCATCCGCACATCGTTTATATTGGGATTTGAGTCAATCCGAATGTAGCGGTATTTCAAAAATATGTGATTGTCAATGGTTTCACAAAGGTTTTAGCTTACATCACAATGTTAAAAGTTATGCTTAAAAATTGTTATTGAAAACGAGAAAACATCATTTAACAGTGATTTCAAATAGAGATGAGACAATAAAAATTAATTATTGCCGGATTTAACAAAGAAATTATTTGAAGTAAGTCATGTACGTATTTTTGGTAAAAAAATCATCAATAAGTCTATTATAATTTCTTTTGAATTAATGAATGAATTTTGGTTTATTGTAATTGTTCTATTCCGGTTATAAAAATATGAACAGCCCGCAATGCAATAACAAAAATAAATAAAAATTAAAAAATTAATAACAAATTACCTCTACTATTAGATAATATTTTAAAGGGATCATTGCGTATGTAGAACAATAGTTAAAAAAATCACAGAGCTTTCAATGTTTTAAAGGCTGCTGTATCCAGTGAGGCTTCAAGCTGTACTTTTCTTTTAGTTGCACATCTGAGATTACTACATGAGATTAAATTATTTACTAGATAAATAAAAATCCTGTAAAAAAATTCAGTGTCTCCTGTACGTATATGCAATCTAATTTTATTGTTGGAACAGCTGATCTGGATAAATCAAATATATTTGTATCACCAGGGACGATTAAGTGTTCTTAGCTTTTTCTCTTAACTATCTTGAGTAAAATGTACAGAGCATTACCCTACCTACGATGGGAAAATGTTTGACCGTTTATTTATTCGTGTAAAAATATTTATATATAAGCGACCACGATGGCATATTGTTAATATTAATTTATTACACCACTCAAGTTCTCAAGTAAGTGTCATGAGTGCATGTATATTTTAAAGTACACAAAGCCGACTATACACAATTCCAACATCGCGGAATAACGGATGTGCGCAGAAACAGTCTCAATTTGAATTGGTTGGGTCACACACCTTATTTACTTACATCATGTAGTCAGGCAGACTCTTTGACGGTCTCACATAACCACAGTTACTTTTTTTTGTATATTTGTTATTGTGTTTCATTGATAAAATTAAATCTTATGAACGATTATGATTGCTAGTGTAGCCCGCCAAAGGCTTTTAATATCTTGTGACAACAATCGTAGTTGTCACACAATCAAGTGTGTATATACAAAATTGTATAATTACCACGAGAAACTTGTGAAACTTTTTTTATTGATTCTTATAAATCTTTTGATACTTTAAAAAAATCTTTTTATAAATATTAATATATCTCCCTATTTTATATAGTTGTATCAACGAAAGTAAGTCTCAGCCCCCCCCCGCTCCCTCCACTCCCCCTCAACCGCCCCCCCAAAAATTCTTATTTATTTAATGTTTTACCATCATTAATGTTGAAAAATATACACAATTTAGTACCCAAGTCATACCTCGTGTTTAGGGTTTCTTAAGGTGGCTCCAGCGCCTAGTGCCGTATCAAAATGGGGAGACTAAAAATTAATCATTATTTTCTTTAAAATCTGGTATAAAATTATCGTAAAGACTGTTAATTGTAAGCCATTTTCTACATTTTATCTGTTACTTTAGTAAGTAAATATAAAAAAACAAAAAAGTTTTATGCTGCCCTAATTGATGAACTGTTACGGTACGCTCCTAAGTTCAAGAATGTGGCAACATTGCTCAGCTGTAGTCATACCTATATATATGTACTCTGCAGAATGCAGACAGCTGAGAGCTGACTTGCACTCGCAACTGTATGTATATATAGCTATTTATTAGCCTGTACATATTCTAATATCTTAAAATTAACTTAAAATGGGCCACGATGTTCGTGGGAAAGTTGGTAAAATGAAAGGAAAATTTTTGAAGAAGAAAGAGCAAGTGAGAATGGAAACGTTTTTAAAAAATGTCAAAGGAAAGCGAGGAAGACGAGTAAATACTGAGGTTAGTTACTGTTTATCAACAACAAATAATACACTATGTACTTTGCGTAGTTCTTCCGAATATCTGTAAATTTTGCAATTATTAAAGATACACATACATACAATACTATCTATGTCAAGTGCTATAGAGAGCACAAATATAACCTGATTAATTTTGTTTTTTCAGAATGAGACAAGTACTCCAGTTACTTACAAGTCCTTTGGTGGATGCAGAATAATGAATACCAATTTCCAATTTTATGAAAAATAAAATGGCAAATGCAGGCATAAATAAACAGACGCTAGAAGAAGCTTGTGAAGTGGGAGGTATCGACAGTTTAAAAATTTTATTGGGTGAAAATATTGGAACAAAACCACGTGTAAAAATTAACAAAAAAATAATTGAAAAATTATATGAACAAATCTTATAACAATGTACTTAGTTTGAATCGTGCTGTATTGTAAACACAATTTTTTCTGTCATATTAATAAAATTATTTTTGTTATATAATACCATACATATATATTACAGTGTATACGTATATAAGTGAAATTTTATTACAAGTTTATTGTAACATCAAAACAATTAAACGTATACTGAACGTATAACATCCTTTCAACATGTACGTTATTGTAACCATCTGATATTTATCAAAGCCGTATCTATCATCTATCACAATAACCCACAGCAATAAAAATCAAAACAAAAAACCACCTCCAAATAATTTTTTCCCGATATTATTCAATAAAGGTTTCAGTACGATGTACGTTGAGTGCCTGAATTTCGCGGGAATCCAGTGTCAATATAGCACAAAGCAACGTTGCCATATTTGTTTTTTCCCCAACTATATTGCCTACTTAGTCTCCGATTATTTAAAGATTTTGTTCGATAACGAGACACTTTTCTCATGTCATCGAAAACTACGTAATAATGTATACAAGATAGTATATTTTTTACACCTTACGGGTTATTTATATAAGTGCAGCAGTGGGTTGTATATCGCGTAAGCTTGCATTTCCTATCTAGCCAGTCTTAAAACTACGATTTTGTAAGCATGATTTCTTACAATTTTCATCGTCAACCTTAATTTTTTTTTAAACGAATAGAAAGATGGGAATTCAAAGAAAATAATTCAATTTTATTAACCTCGGTTGGGTTATTTATAATTTTAACATTGAGGCCACTGGAGCCACCATAAGTCACTGATCATAGGTCTTCCTCTGTCTATTTGCTTTCCCTTACTCACTCTACGTCTCTAAAGTACCATTATTTGTTCAACTTGATTGAACTTTTACATTACAAATCTCTTTCTGGTCCATGTCTACTTTACTTAAATATAAAATTATTGATTACCTGAGGACTTTATTAACAAGGAGAAGGAGGTACAATTAAAATAGACAAACACAATTAAGCTTTTGAAACAATAATTTATTCTGTTAGCTTAATATTGTGACACTTCATGTGTTGTTTTAACCCATTTGTTCTTTTAAAACCTTTTCCACATTTTTCACATACTTGTTTTTCATGGTTTTTATGAATTAACATACGTCTGTTTAAATGTAACGATCTTCAAAGTTACATATTTCTGAATTACTGAAAAATTTCTAGCTAAACAATGTTTTTAATTTCTGATTTATCCTCGGATTCAATTTGAATACAAGGTTTTTTAATATACAATCCTAAAAACTGTGTCCTTGTGATTTGTTGATAAACATAGAACATATGCTAATACAAAGAAACTGTTTTCTATAGAAAACAAAAAGTAACGATGATGAGGTATCAGTGTTCAATGTTATTATAGGAATATAAACTTTGCTTTCTTTTTTTCTCCCATTATTATTTCTGCTTCTATATTATACTTAAATATTTTTGTTATTTTTAATCTTGTGCCTCTACAAAGACCGTCTGATATACTTAAAGTTCTTATTAACATTACTATAGCATTTATTTTAATTCGTGTGGTGAAAGACCTTCTCTGATATTATTTAAAAATTCTATTGGAAAATTAATATTTATGTTTTCATATGTTTTATCAACTCCTTTTTCGGTCACGTTTTCTGCTCTTGTGAACTAATTATCAGCCTTCATTGATAAATACACGAGTAATGTCGTTATTTTGTCTACTCAATCTGGTAGTGGGGGGTTGGCGCGCAGGGGGGCGTCAGCCTTACTAATATGTACAATAACCCCAATGTATTTACTAGTGGGGCTGACGTCCCCCTGCGCGCTCCGCACGCCAACCCCCTACTGTTTTAATTTAAAAGAAGAGTCTTTAAATTTTATCTGTTAGTGAGGAAAGGTTGGTGCCCAGAATTTTGTGAGGAAGGAGAGTTTTTGATCTACATCGTTAAGCATTAGTTATATATTTATCAGTAATTTCCACACCGGAATGTACTATTGTGGCACATTAAGAATGTTTTTAGGAACTCTCCGTTACGTTTAGAAAAAATAGGTATCTATAAGCTTCGCTAGTTTTGACAACTTTCATTTTATTCAAATATGATTAAAAAAAACAGTCCTTTAACTTTTATGTTAAATATTAATACTACCATAAAATAACAATTAATTTCATCAATGAAAAATATCATTATATGTTACAATATAATTTGATTGTATAAAAAACACATATAATGCAATAAAGCTTTTGATGAATTAGATAATTTAAACAATAACTTTCTGTTCTTAAAAAAAAAGTCAGAGAATATAATTTTTTCTTCCAAGTAGCCATATATGACGGTACCCAGTTTTTTTTAACTTCGAACGTAAAGTGAGTTTATTTATTTTAGTAAATAAGTGGGCGAACAAAGCCAAAGACAATATATCTATCTTCTCTAATAGTAAAAAAGAAATATCAAATTTTAAGGTTCATTTATACGTTTATCAACATTATTAACTCCATTTAATATGTATGCGTCTCACCGTCAATCTTTTTAATTCCACTCGAAGAAATAATGTTGCTCATTACTGTGTCAGAAGTACGTTTTTCAGCTACTAAAAAAATTTTTTTGGCCAATTTTGACCAATTTTCTTTAAATAAATTAGTGGCAGTTAGATATTTTTGATTAAAATCCTGTGTCAACTACACCCAAAATAATTTTTTTAATACTATTGTAAAAATATGATTAAGACATTGACATACAAATTGAAAAACAGTGAAAAAATACTGCTTACCAGTTCTAAGCCATTAGATAGCTTTAGACACGGTAAAGTTTTAAAAATTTCAGAAATATCGTTTTTTTGGTAAAACATCAACTTTTCCTCGATATTTGTTTCTTTCCACAGTTGATGAAAATCTGTAGTAAGAACTTTAATTAGAATCGACAAATCTTTCAGTGAACGTTTTAATATTTCTGTTGAAAAAGTACAAAAATTAGTAGTTTTCGTACAATCTGTACCATCTAAAATGATCCTAACCAAGAAATTATTTTTAAAAAATCTCGAAATGATTTTAAAAAAACATCTACCATCACTAGTACTTTTTCTCTTTAAGCATGGAATGCGCTTTTCTTCGATTAGTAATCTACGATGCCCTATCCTCTGGTAGGGAACACCGCCCGAGACACACACATGCCTTTGCCTTCAATAAGCTAATAAATAACTGACCAACGAGTTAAGTTCTTTTTGTGACGCACCTCCTTACGAGCTTCTTAATCTCACGTAACACAGCATTAAAAAATTATTTATTTTGATGTATTCGACACAAAGAGTTGACAACGTACATAAATTTAAATAAAAGTTATACTAAGAAATTGAAACAGAATAATCCATCACATTAAAAAAAAAAAAAAAAAAAAAAAAAAAAAAAAAAAAAAAAAAAAAAAAAA